ACGCGTGCGTTGAGAGGACTCCGTGGTCTGCGTGCATTTAAGAAAAACTACCAAGCTTGTTGGCTATTCAATTAGCTACCTAGCTAACCATTTGGCTAACCACTCTTGCGGGGCCCTTCTCCTTTGTGATGCAGGATCAGGCAATAATTAATATGGCCATGCAATAACAGCAGCAGACTTGCGCTTGATGAACACCAAAAAACGAGCAAATATGAACAGAAAAAAACAACAAAAGCATGAGAGAAGTCTATTCTGTTTTAAGACAAGTAATCAAAGTAAGTTTTGTACTTTTTGAGATGAAATTAAAGAATAAGAGGGAGATATCATTACACACTAGCATTACACAAGACGCACACAATCACCGAGCTGGAGAAATGATCAAGGACAAATGCTAGTTAGCTCATGCAAAATAAATAAAACACTTGTCGTACATTGTTTTAACTTATTATTGGCTGTTATCTCCAAGTTTTTGGCTTCGTTTTCCGGGCTGTGGACCGACTGTAAGTGATGGGACGACAACACAAGCATGACCCATAACAAACGGCCCATACAACTCCAGCGAACAATGATGCTCGTCCGGCTAGCCGAGACAGCTAACTTAGCAGCTAACTAGCGGTAACGTTAACGCTAGAGCTCCGTGCTTTGTTGTCTGTCCCGTCCCGAGTTTCACTGCTACAACGACCGGATAGGTCGATAAACCTGATTTTATGAATGTATCTTACCGTTGCATGACCATGACCTGCTATTTAGGCTCGCGTGGTTCACCCTCAGCTGTCCGTTTCAATATCTAGAGCCAAAACATTGTTCTCCCGCAGCTGCTGGGTTCTTCCATCTTGCCTCGGCGCTGAGGATTCTGGGTCCTGAAGACGGATGCGTCCTGTACGGTCCTGTAACATAAACGAAACGTTTTTTGATTTGTGTTGTTTGATTAAAGGCAATCGTGAAATCCAGATATATACAAATATTAACACTTTAAAAAATGTCATCGTCAATAGGCTATTATTCCTTCACGTTTTATAATTCGTTTTATAATTCTTGCATTTTATTTGCATACATCTTAATATACGAGTACTTGATTATTTCTATTTTATATTTCTTTAAACGTCTACTCTACTACATTGTTATTTTTACACCATAACATTTTGAAATAGTATTGTTACTAGGGACTGTAATTACTAATAGAAATCCATCAAATTAATTTGAACATAATCATTGTATTGGTTAGGGTTAGGCAGCCCTGCAGTATAGATTTCTGCATACATTAAATCAAACGAGTTCCACCTTTACCAGATGCCACATGAATCAATGAACACATTAATGCATCACTTAAAAAGTATACATTAAAAACAGCGTAGTTTTAAATCACAAAATAAAATAAAAACATTATTGCATACATCAGATAATATAATTAAATTAAAGTTGATCTTATGTTCTATTTCTACAAATAGCAAATAGGTTTTTTTCAGTGTCTTATTTAGGTTTAGTGGGTAGTTTATTTATACAAATACAAATAACTTTTATTTTTTGGATGTCTGTTCAGTCTCGCAAATTAATGTAGCTTCACACATTAATGGAAAGGGTGAACAATCCAGCTTGAATGGCAGTAATGGATAAAGATCCCCAAATCCAAACAGCTGAATGGTTCAAACCACAGCAGAGCGAGTCTCGGACCAGGCATTCAGATGATCAGATGTATTCAAAAGCCCTTAGATCTGCCAGATGAATGACTATGTATACATCTAAGAGCACATCAGTCAGGCCTTGCGCCCCCTACTCCTAATTGCCTTTGCTAATGAACCAATTAATTCAGAAAGCAGTAACTAATGGAAATGCAGTCAGTAGAGTAATGCAAAAAAGGTTACAGAGTGAGTTTGATGCCCTCGCTCCTTTCATACATCCACGATGACAACCCACACAGCTGACATCAGTGATATCTTTGAAATCACTCTCATCAGTGTTTAATATGTATGATGGTCCCCGGATAAGTCTAGATGGTAATCAGATTACATTTGAACTTCTAGCTTAATCAAGTTCATCATCTTATTATTTAAATGTAACCAAAAAAACAGATATGAAGAAATTAACAATGTTTAAAAGGAAGGAATTTGTTATAGAGGGTGTAAGGAGAAATTAAAAGCTTTAAACATCTCCATATAATATATTCTACATTTAAAAACTGTATATTAAGAGTTACCATATAGCTTTTGACAACTCTTAGGCTACTAAAAAGATTCTGTATTTAAGGATAGTTTTATTCATGGACATATTACACATTTGAAAACACTTAGCTATCTAAAAAATGTTGTGTGTTCAATGAATGGCTGAACTCGATCTTAGTATTTCTAAAATGTGTGGCTGCAGTCATGCATGGCCAATAAAAGTAAATAAAGTGCTCATGTTTGCATGTTTTAAACAAACAGTTGCCTTTATACACACCCAGACATGGAGCAACATTATTATTTATTTTGAGTTGTGTTTCTGGCCACTTCATCCAATATGCACTATACTCCAAGAACTGTTTCAGTCTTCTTAGAGAAATATCCCATTTTATCTGCTAAATTATGTTTACCTGATAGATGCTGAGTCTGTCTGCTGTTTGGTACTGAGCAGGTAGATGTTACAGCTCTTTACTGAAACAGCTGTATGCTATGACCCAAAATGACACTATGAAAGCCGTGAGAGTGAACCAAACCAGTAAATATGCAGGCTGTAAAACCAAAACAATGGGCTGGAAGGAATTAACTTGAGTAACGATTCTATTTGGTTTTTACGCTTGGCGTTTGATTCACTGTTGGTATAAAAATGTTCATGTAGCATTTGTAATCCTGTAAAACCTGCGCACAAACACAGAGAAGCACATATAAAGATGGACCTTCCTGGTGTTATTTCAATGTCCTGTTCTGAGTGTCAATCTAACATTTGTAAAATATCACAACCTGTCTCAACTTTCCATCACCCTCTACACTCAGCGACTGTTTGGGACACGGAGGTCAGAGACATTATGACTCCTGCACTTTGAGTCATGTCGTATAGCACTGACTCTACTTTGAATTAAGTAATCTGCCTTCATTGCGAAGGAGACAGAGGAGCGATTACTTCTCTACTTCTGTATGGCAAAATGTGTAACAGAGACGGTTATCAAGTCCTCATTAATAATTCAGCCAGTGTGCAGCATGCCTTTGTTCCCTCCTCTCCTGAATCCATTGTAACCACACACACAACAAATAATTTGATTGTGAACGCTCAATTTGCTTTCTCATCTAAAATTGGAGGCCAACAAAACAGTTAAAAGCCAAATGTAGTGGTTGCATGCGTGCTGATTTGTATTCTTACTGGGAAAGCCTGATGCCTTCTTATAACAGATGGCCGTCTACCTCTAATCCTCAATTGTCAGGAGGATCACAGCCGTGTTTGGGTTCCTCTACTGAGACACAAGTATTTTAGTTATTAAAAAATGGTGCAGTGGTTAGACTTGTACCATGGGGATTAAAATACAATTGAAATTATTCTATTTGGTTTAATAATATTTGGTGCCATAAGCAACAAATAAGAAACTCTATCAATACTACACCTATTTATTTGGTATTATACACAGTAAACAGGGCCTATACACTTATAAAAGCTTATAAGCTACTACTTCATAAGGTTCGACTGCGCTTATAATTTTTGTTAAATGCAGAAAAGGCTATAAAACATTCCTTTTTCTTTAAAAATACAATACTGTACTGTTTTCTTGCATACAGTTATTTGGACAGAAAAACATCAGAACATCTGGGAATGGTCTGTGGTTGTCATGTAGCCAACTGTGACAGGGATATTTAGTATTATATCAGGGCCTTTTGATTAGTACAAAATAAAAAATTACTTTAAATTAGACAAACCTTTGTCAGTAGAGGGTGCTGATGAGTAAATAACTTTGTCATCTGCACAATTACGAGTCCTTAGGCCCCCTTTTGTAACCAGATTTATGAATTTATGCAACTATTGCTGCCAATAATTTAACCTCAGAAAAATGATTATAACTTTTTTGTAGTCACTAAATGTGCACTTAATTTACCCTAAAACTGCCCATAGTAAGGTTCATCATAAGCTCTTATCTATTTTTATTTGTTGTATTTTGTTGTTGTTGGGTTTTCAAATTATGTCCCATACCTGTTTCTTTTTTAACTTGCTGGTGTGTTGCACTTCCACAAAAAGCACCTAAAAAAACATGTTTCCCCAATATCAAAGATATGTTCATTACACCATTTATTATTTACTTTGCGGGAGAAACTTTAACTTTATAGTTAATAATATGAAATGCAATAAGACATTGTATTATATCTAATTGAAACCAGGGCAAAGAGATCCAAGGGCATTGCATCATTTTTAAGGTGTCCTTTGGGAGGATACTTGTCCAGGATATCCTCCTCTCTAGCAGCAATCCAATGTCTAAATCAATAGAATGGCTTCACAGGAAAGAGGAGAAGCAACGACTTAAAATGGGCAAAGCTTTTGAATGTTACTGGGACATTTGATAAGATTTACTAATATGACACAGGTGAAAAGAGGCACACATAACTACCATAGCCCATTTGCAATTCATTCAGTCATTGTCCCTTGTATTCCCCTGTTTTAGATCAAATATGCACATATATCGTCTCTCCAGTAGATGGCAAAGTTTGACTTAAGCACAACTCCAATCTAGTTACTCGGGATCTCTGTGACCCTACATGCTTATACTTATAACCATGGAGCAACTACAATGTGAAGAGAATGTGAGCACTTATAAGTTATTCATGTAAACATTATTTACTGATAATATATAATATACAAACCAAGCCATATACGTTTCCCAGAAGAACTACAAAGAAGAGTCACATTGTCCACCTCTCTCACTTAACACACACACACACGCAGTCTTGTGTAACTCTCCCCTCCTCTCTCCCTTCCCCCTTGTCCTCGCATCTCCCTCTCTCACTCACACACACTCCCCTCCTCCACAGCCCACCAGAAGCTGTCAATGGAAGATCCTCGTATTTCGCTCTGCTGGTGAGGACACGCCAGTCAAAGAGAGTGGAGACTGAGCAGAGCGCACAGTACAGTCAGCGATATTCTGATGTCATGTGAAACAACTGGAAGAATATTGGATATTTGTATTTATGAAAACGGACCAGTGGCTTCAAAACACTGACATTCGCGTAATTTGTTTTTTTTCCAACGTTTTACGCGCGCTGAAGTGCCCATGGCGCTTTTTACGCACTGCATGTAACCAGTGATTTGGAGCCTAAAACTATCGTAAACATGGATTAAACAGCAGGTAATCTTTCTTTACTTTAGGAGAGCTGAAATGGCGGCACTTCGTAGGAAATTTGGTGAAGACTACCAGGTGGTCAACACAAACCGGGCTACCACTTTTGCTGCTCCGGTTAAGAAAAAACGCCAGCGCTTCGTGGACAAGAACGGTCGCTGCAATGTGCAGCACGGAAACCTCGGGGGAGAGAGCAGCAGGTACCTCTCTGACCTCTTCACCACTTTGGTAGACTTAAAGTGGCGATGGAACCTTCTCATCTTCACCCTAACTTACACCATCGCTTGGCTGTTCATGGCATCTATGTGGTGGACCATCGCTTATATCAGAGGAGACATACATCATGGCCATGGCCATGACCCTTCCTACACCCCCTGTGTGGCCAATGTTTACAATTTCCCCTCCGCTTTTCTGTTCTTCATCGAGACTGAGGCCACAATCGGTTACGGTTACCGGTACATTACAGAGAAGTGCCCGGAAGGCATCATCCTCTTCTTGTTCCAGTCACTGATGGGCTCCATAGTGGACGCTTTTCTCATCGGATGCATGTTCATAAAAATGTCCCAACCTAAGAAACGTGCAGAGACGCTCATGTTCAGCCAGGACGCGGTAATTTCTCAGCGAGACGGCAAGCTGTGCCTCATGTTCCGTGTGGGCAACCTGAGGAACAGCCACATGGTGTCCGCTCAGATCAGGTGCAAACTCATAAAGGTAAGTTCGAGCACCAGATTTTTCTGATGATAATAACTCTTCAGAAAAACTTGCTGAAGTGCGGAAGTTGAGTTAAAGTTAAGCACATGTTGTTGTCCATAAATCTACCTTCTTTCAATAAGATTAAATTCTTACATGTAAATAAATATTCAGTGCTCCAACTTATGATACTCCATGCTGCTGCATTAGTGTGAATAATCAAAGTATTGTTTACTATAGAGTACAATAAAAAAGGCAATTTATTTGTATATGCACAATGACTGCAGGAATGAATGACAGCTGGTAGCTCTGAATAATCTTCATTCCCTTTACCTTCCTCATCTGAGTCCACAGGAAAAGAAATAGCTGCATAATGCCGGTTTAAATTAACCTTTTGTTTTCCATAGCTTGATATTAAGCAGGGCTCACACTATACTTGTTAAACAAAACAGGCTTAGATAACATTACCATAATCCTCCAGCTGCAGGGTGGTGAGGCTGAGTGTCAGCAGGTGCATCTCAAACACTGAGATAAGACAGCGAGGTAGGTCTTTGTTGGAAGCGCTGCAGTGCCCAGCGTCAGTGGTGACACCTGGACAGAAAGATGTGTATCAGTAAATACATGTGGCAAAGAGATGGCCCCCTGAGAAAGACAGTATTTATGGGCCTCATATAGAAATTATTATTTTGTTTATCTTTGGGATTTATTTTCTTAAGTTTTCAACCCTTCAGATATACAATTACACACCAAAAAAAGAAAGGTTTCTAATCTGCTGTACAAACTTTGCTATGGTGGTTATCTACTAAGGATGACCTCAGCTGTTTTCAAACCAACTTCGCACACTGAAACAAGCAGAAATGCAGAAAATGACCACAAACAATTTGAAGGTCATGCTCCTATTATAATTAAGGTAATAGATCTTCTTTCAGTCATATATTGTAAGTCGCTTTGGATAAAAGCGTCTGCTAAATGCAATGCGATACAATACGAATGTAAATCCATGTTAAATGTGCAAACAGGGCCATAAAGAAGACCAACAGCATTGGTGAGGTGCTTGGATGTTGTTTATGTCAGTGTTCTCATCTGCACAGTCACACCAAGCAAGGATTGGTCAGCTTAATGATGCATGCAGGAAAGGAGTTATTCCTCAGTTAAAAGCACAGAGGAAATTAACGACCCAATTGACAAAAAGTCTATGCCAACTCCCTTCCTCTCTACTGTGACATGTAAGCTATCAGCATCTCCATCATAATTGTTCATTTTAGTTTATCGCCACACTTGAACTCAATAATAATCATAATCAGGAATAATCTAGATTTGTGTTGATTAAAAAGACAAAGGCATGCAAGGCATCAAATAAAAGGTTCAGGATTTGTCTCGCATTGAAGAGCCATGCACTCCTTTCCTACTGAACTGCAAGAAATACAATCTCTATAAATTCCAAGACCTCTCTGCCAAGCCCACATCTTTTTTACACTATCTCTCTGTGAAATACAATACAAAAACCAGCATCCACTGTGTGCTCGTTGGTGGCTTTTTTTCACAGTTTTGCTCCAGGGCTTTGAGGTCTAACCTTATTCTTCCGCTTCAAAGACTTTCTTACAGAGAATGAATTTCCTCAGCAGCTCGTTCAGGGCACAGAAAAATGAACAAGTCATTGTGCAACAACAAAAGCATGTTGAGACTGAAATAATCGTATATTGTCATATTACACATCAGATAAATTGTTTAAAAAAAACCTCAAATAATAAATAAAGTAGTAGTCATATTTTTTACTAAATGCTTTCAGTGCAATCCTGGCGTAGAAATGTTGGTGATGCTGTTGAACTGCTACCTTCTTCATGTCATACCTTTTCATATGAAATACTCAGGATGACTGGCAGACGAAGCATTTGAACTTAAATAACCACTGTGTGTGTGTGTAAAATATTTTTTTTGTTAATGATGCTGTATCTAAAAACAGATTGGATAAACAGCTCACTGACACACAATCTAAACAAATGCTCCTTATCTCTTCTACAACTTAATTACTTCCATGCTACCATCTCATGGTATAGCATCTCAAATGAATCACATGCAAGAGTTAGTTTCAACCAACCCAAATAGGTTATGTGTGAAAGGAAGCAGTAGCACCTTTGGTTTTGACCCTGTTCACGTGTTGGGGATGTTGACACAAAATATAGTTTAGTGCAATGCAGCGTAAGATTAAAGTAGCAGTTTTTCACTGACCATAGATTTGAAGTGGGCCTCTGGCCATCTGCCCACAACCAGGTACAGAGTTGAAGTCATTATTTCCTCTCAGTAAGGGCCACACTGCTCATTAACTCGGGAGGGACAGGAGAAAGCTTTTAGCCACCTGAGGTCAATAGAGACAGAAAACAAAGACATGGCCTTCATATCTGCAGCAAGAAGAAATAATATTTGTCCAACAGGGGCAATGATGAAAACCATTAATTCCTGAAGGCTTATTAGTCTGTTGTGTCTTGGGCTGTGGTCGAATATGGTATGTTTTGCTTGGGTAAGGTTCCTAACTGAAGTAAATGATCCAGAAGTATCTACGTGCAGCCATGGTAAGAGTTATTTTAAAGGAAAGGTGCTTTATTTCTTATCCCATTGAGTTTACTGGACCATCATTTACCAAAATGAAATGATCAAATATTCCAATAATTCCTTGTGGCAGCAAAACATATATGTCAACAACATCCTTGCAAGTGCAGTTTGGTTAAGCAGCAGCCTGTTCTGTAGTCCTTACAATCTGTCAAATATTTATTACATTTTTTTTTTACGGAAAATAAAAAAGGTTGTCCCTTTTTCACATTTAACATATCCCCATGTTGTTTCAGTAACCCTGGAATCATACAAGGTGACAAAGCTATCAGTGCAAATGTACAATTGAGCCGTCAGATGAAGCTGCAGGTGTTATTTAGTGCAGTCTAAATTCTATCAGTATAACTTCAATCCACAGAGCCCTGTCAGATGATAAGGCCTGTTAAAATTGGAGCCACTTGGTTCTGTTGTGTTTGGACACCAGAGCTCTGCTGAACTGTCTTGGATGATTACTGGGTAGCAGCACACAGGAGAAAGGAGAGGAATACACCAATCGAAGCTGTCATACAGAGTCCCACCATGAGCAGTTGAAATGCAGCTTTTCAGAGCCTCCATGGCAGCCTCAGAGGGCTTCCTGCTGGAACATCCTAGCTGAAAATATGACTCGAGTATTGGGAGGGTGGAGGAATTGATTGAAAGTGGTGAAAAAGCTGGAGAGACGTTTGTAGTAAGAGGGGATGCACAGAAAGAATTACAGCATTTGTTCCTTAATATTTTCATTGTGCCTCCTATTTCAAAGACATACAAGGGAAAGAAATCCTCTTAGATGTATATCTCCTTGGAGGATTGCAGGATGGGCTGCATACACTCTTCAACAAAACTGGAATTGATTTCCATTTCTCATCTAATAAGAATAGAGATGCAATTATACTATCAGGTTTTGGAGGGCTGCAGAAAGGCCTCGAAAACCTGCATTGATGAGAAAGAAGACTAGAGCCAGAAAACCTCAAGACTCTGGACTCCTCACGCTACTTTCACCTTTGTATGCTAAACTTAAATAATTCATAGTCTACACAGTTGTATAGAGTGTTTTACTTGGAGAATACATGCTCAAAATGAACAAGCGCACACAAAATCTCGAGTGTTTTTGTTTAAAGGCATTCCAAAAAAGGCCTGGGGGAGGTGAAGTGTTCATTATGTGAAGGCTGCAGACTAAATTAGATAATGCAATGTTATTTTTGAAAAAACATTATATCTTCAGGCTACTGACAATAACAATGTATGACAAATATTTTCCACACCCAAGTAGTAGTAGTAGTAGTATAGTCAAAGCAACATTTTTGGCCAAGAACATTGTGACACAATTTTTGCCACACCAATCGCTAAAGTCCCTAAATGTCACATTGAGGTTTTCAACTCTTTCCAAGGAGGCACATGGAAACCAGAGCATAATGCATAACAACTAGATTTCAGGCAAAGTAGCACCAAACTACATTTTAAAATCAGTTTTGTCTTGGTTTGACTGACCTGACAACCACCTTATTTTGGTGAGCATAAGACTCTACTGCCACATAATCAGTTTGACATGCATCCTTACCAGATTTACAATTGTATCTAGCAGCTTTTCACTTGTCATTCACCATCTTTATTTTTCAGAGAACCTATAGTATAAATAGAAATACCTTAAGTAACAATGCAGATTATTTATGTTATAGCTTTCCCTTTATAGCACATTTTGGACGTTAAGAGTGTGGAGTTTAAAATTGTTGGATTGGTTTATAGTTCGATTTGTTTGACAGAAATGTGTGCACATATTGCAGGGGTTAATAACTGCAATATTCATTTTGTCATCCATAATTTCATATGAATTCAGGTAGTCTTTTGTAAACTTTTTATGGACCATTTATGTCAGGTTCTGACTTGGAGCAGCTAGGCATGTGAACAGTAATTGGTCTTTCCTAGGATGTTCCTTGAGGCAGACATTTTCACAGCAGAAGAGATGCGGCAGAAGGCTGAAGTTTGATGTGTGTGAACAGCTCATTATTACTCACGTGAACCTAAAAACAGCTTGCCGGCAGGGGCGGCGGGTGCTGTAGGCTAGGGAGGAGGCTAAGCCTTCCCAAATATGTGTATCACTGCATCCTGGTAAAATACAAATACAATGTATAATGTCTGTGTCTTTGACATTAGCGCTGCTAGCCACCTGTGCCCTGTAGGCCTACTACGAAGCCAGTTCAACAGACCCTGGATATGTTTGAGTAACAAACAAACTAACAACAACAAACTAACAAACGAGATCTCGCTAAGCGGTCCTACGACCAGTGCTGGAATTGGGCCGGTACTCACCGGTACGCAGTACCGGCACTTCTGGTTCTGACCCATGGAGTACCGGCACTTCTTGCTCAGTACCGGCATGCTGGCGGTACTCCGGTACTCATGCACCGTGCCAGTACTCAACACTCTCCCGCCGTTCT